CTTTACCGTCAGGGAACATTTTTGCAAATACTCTGAAATGCGACAAGAAAATCGTAAAAATACTATCAAGTGGATTGAAACCTGAAATTGCTGTTGTTCTTTGAACTTAATAATCTTTGGGATAGATAAGTGGTTTGAATTGTTTTACCGGACCTCTCCGTACACTACTGTCCGTTTTGGTTGCTTCAAATGCAGATATGGTGTTTCTCTCTGCCAAATTGGAATTTCTCACGATTATTGTTTACATTAGGACATTCCATTAAATAGTGATGCTTTGATCATTTGCAATGCCTTTTTCATACTAAGAGGGATTGTTCTATTTCTAGATGTCTCGCACTGGATATCGAGAATATTTGACAATCGGGGTAGTTATTTGTCGTAAGCATTCTCTCCAAGTAGTATCGCTTGTGTTTGTGACAAAATGATAAATATTGAAAAATTATTCGCATTTCACTCACAGCTACTTGTAGCTGTGTGGGATGATTGATTTTGATTGATTTGAACTGACTATCCTCCGAACTTCACCTTGACGCGCAATACTCAGTTCATCGAATGAAACATAACCTCCGAAGCACTAGACTCGAGTGTCATTCTTATTAGAGCTCATCAGTAGTGCATATCCACCGTCACGTTCGGGATTCTAACTCTGGACCCATACCATAGATGAAACAAATTGCCAATTCATGTTTGTTCAGGTGTCATCTTCAATGTTAGTCAGGCAGTTCGATGGCCCGACAGCCACGAAGGGAGATACGGATGAAAATCTGTTAACTCCAATGGAAAGCCTCCCACCAAGTCAGGACTTTGATGCAGATTACTGACCACCACTAAAGACTACACCTGAACAGACATGAATCGGCAATTTGGTTCAACCATGATATGGGCCGGTTGGCACACTGATACCGAACACGCATTCCATGCGATGGGCCCGGAGGTCAAATCCCAGACGGGATGGTGGATATGCTCTACTGATGAGCTCTAATAAGAGTGACGCTCGAGTCTAGTACTTCTGAGTGTATGGTTGAATCCATGACCTGAGTATAGTGTGTGAAGGTGAAGTTCGAAGGATGGACAGTTCAAATCAATCAAATAGTCAAAAGCTTTCATGAGAGAATTGCTGTAGACGATGTCAATACGAATATCTCAGAAGTCAAGTAACGAGTCTCCTTCACCAGTCACTCAAATGAACATGCAATGGCAGTGGTTAGCTAAAGTTCTGGCACTGGTGAGAGATTTGATTGAGTAAAAACTTTGACCCATAGAACTGTTAAACAAGTATATGTTTAAAATGGATGGCAAATCTACATTCAAAATCATACGGCTGCATGTGAGAATCAGGATTATTTGTCAGACAATGGAAAAATGAAATAGCAGGTCGGATTACCTATCATTGAACTATAACGACTGGTACCCTTATGCACGTCAAACGTTAAATTTTCATTCCTCCGATGAGGACTTCGGCAGATTGATGGGATTACCGTAGGCAATCCGATGAGATGGATTCTTGCGGATAATTTTCTTGACTACCCACAAGAAAGGCTTGAAGAGGATGGTTCAAAGTAAATCTATGCTGTTGCTAAGCGGATGACCTCAACGGGGATGAAGAAAACTTGTTCCATCAGCTCAACACTATTCACCCGCAGCATTGAGAAAAACTTGCCTCAACATACAAGACAACCGCATTGGATTTTGGAATATGAACATTATTTGTCGAGCAGGGGGAGCAATTAAAAGATCTGTCTTCCAAACGACCACTTGGTCTGACCAATATTTGCACTTGAGGATCCTCACTCCCCGATGCAGCGTGGAATTAATCACATTTCCACATCACTTCACTGAGAGCATGAAATAGCCATAGACGACTATTTAGACGATGATTGTGACCTTTTAACAGAAGCGGTGGACGGATATCCGGTTGCGTTCATCGCCAAATATTGCAAAGCAACACTTGAAGTGGAAAAAATAATGTCTGTCCCAAAATTAAAGTATTTTTTTAAAGTTATCGTACAAAGACGCTGATTTGAGTGAATTGTTCAGCAAGCGGTTGAACTCTGCCACCAAGCACGTCTATCATGCTGTCGACCCGGTTATTGTCTTCACCACCATCCGGATACCATTGATATCGGTGAAAGAAACATTGGCCCCCTCCGCCAAATCACGGTGCATTTACCAATTCAGATGTAGATGCTCCACAATCGACTTAGGGAGAACAGAGAAGCAGTTATGTCACTGAATGGCCGAACGCCTTCCGGTGTGGATTAAGAAAAAGATAAATGAAGTGTCTGAAACCCTTGCATCATCGAATTGTCAGAGAAGATTTGAATCTTTGATGTCATGTGATTCGTGAAATCGCTGGCGCCAAATGTCCGAGGAATTGTTTACAAAGTGACGTTTCCTTTTCAGTTTATGAAATCTCTTCGCCAAACTAAATTGCCGCTTAATCGCAGGAACCTTATACGTTTACCGCAGTCCCACCGGGAACATACTGTTGAAACACTCAACTAACTCAAACAGAAAATGTTAGCCATGCATGCCATTCCAAATAGACCCAGCCATGTGCGTCCAGTCAAATTCTGTAAATTCAGCCGCAAACAATAGTGGCAATGTNGTGAGTCGCGGAAGGACCAATCGAAATCGCTATCAGAGACCGTTATCATTAAGTAGTTCCCAAAAGAAACCAGGAGGTATAATCATGATTTAGATTTTCGATATCACAAAATATATTCAATCAAAAGCATTGTATCACTCCAACCCACACATCATTATAAAACTACTCCAGCGGCATTTTCAGTTTATGAGATTTTTCAATACATTTCACACTTTCCACGATTTCAACTGAAAGTTCAAGAGGCAGGATGGTGCGATGCATAGGGATTCTTTTTCTCTATCTATTCTTTGTACATTTTGGTTGACAATCGAGATACTGCGGATCCTCTAAGAACGTCTTGGTAACACCACCAAAGCTTTCTCGCTTTTAGTCTCAAAATGGCAGTGAATCCACATTTGATTATCACTACTGGCTCCAGTCGTAGTAAATCAGGTATCAGTTCAGTCCCCCAAATAATTCATTTCATAATGTGCGACAGAATATAAACGTTTCCAATGATTAAACAAATTCAACACTTGCGTGATCACTATTCCGCCATGAAGGAGTCATTTATAATAGCATTTTAAATTACTTTTATTGAATGGCCACGCTTGACGAGAGTACTTACAGCCTATGCGATAGGGGAAAGAATGTCAGAAATCTATTTGTGACAATCAAAATATGCACCAGGAAATACTTGTTGGTTGAAATGAAGGTATGAAAACCCTAACGAGGAGACTAGGTCACATAGGACCTGTTAGGCTCCCTGGCTGAGGACCTTGATATCATGTACACCGATGCTTATAAACACTGAGTGATATGGCTGGATGTCACAAACAGTGGCGCTCATGCATCCACTCATTATTCTCCTAACACCACTCTATATGAATTCTTCATCTTCCACTTCAATTGGCTCTGAACCCTCCAATCTTCATTCTGCTCTTTTATCCAAACGGGGCACAAAAGTTGTAAAATATGAACTGACTTGAACTGAATGTTTTAAAAACTCAGTGTTTTTTCAAAACACAACTAACCATTGCAACAAAAGTTTCTGGATGTGGTTCATTGGTCTGCAGCCTGAGTACCAAAAGGTGTTTGTTAGTAGCTTATACCTGATTGACACAAGATTTCGGATACCTTGCGGAGTGATTTGAATATACCCCATCTTCGTGAAATTGGCTGTTATTAGTCTTTCACAGATTTCCTTCCAAAATAAATATAGAAAGCAATGAAATATATGCTTTTGGTGCTATTTCCGAGGAGACATAATTGTTATTTCATGATAAGAGATTTTTTGAGCCACCTCAACATCTTCGCTATTCTGCCGGACAGACTGGTGTACAGAAATCATTATGGTTAGTCACGATGTATTTCGAGAACTCTAATTAACCACAAGGTTCAATCCAGAGTGTTGTCAAGGTCAACATCTGAAGTTTAGTAGTCACTTCCAGAGTCAGGTTTCTTAAGAACAAAACTAAGTCAAAATTCACTTTGCGTCTGATTGCTTACAAAGACCTCCAGAAAGATATCTCTGTGCGACCTCCTCTTTAGTATGTTCCTAGTATCCTTGTTGGGATCCGAATGAAGAACCCTCGAAAATGAAGTAGAAAAACCTTACCCTCGCGATAAACAGTCGGTTATCAAAATTTTCAGAAAATGGCGCAGCTGATGTTAGAGCATTTTTGATATTATAAGTGTGATCGTTGAATTGTTACATTTTTTGACTACTGTGTTTCATTAAAGATTTTTGTCTTTATAGTCAAATAGAAAGGAATTTAGAAATCCTAAAGGATCGCCAACTTCGAGTCATTTAAATCAATGAGTGACAAAAACCATTATGAACTTCTCTGTGGGGATAAATTGCTTACTCTGTGGTCACACCCAAAATACCTCATGTATTTTATTCTGTTAAGTTTCATTACCCCTTGGCAGGAATGGCTTATCTAACCTCATACCAAATAAAAAATGACTGTTCTTATGATTGAATCCGTTGTCAAAAATAAGTGTTTTGAGAATGCTCGTACATATTAAATAAAAAATTATCCATAACCATTGCAATGGTTACAATTGTTATAACTATCAGTGCAAAGCGAATTCAAGTAAAATCATTAACACTAGTAGCAATTGATTTTGTATTTATCTGCAAAATGAATCAGCAATATACATTATTATAAAGTATCAAGGACCATAAATGTGGATACCTTTGAATATCGAGAAGACTGTGGGCTTCCTTCACAGGACTAATTACTTTGTGGAAATCTCTTTCAAGGCTTGGTGCTCCGGTGAATAAAATAGGTCCACGAATAGTACGGTTCACAAATGTGAGTAGTACCTCACAGCACTAAATATATATACATGTCGCCAGACTACATCTAAATATGTACATGGCTAACGACATTGCTCAGTTTATTCATTATGTTTTACGCGAACCTCGTTGGAAGAAAATGAAAGGACGAGGTGCTGGGCTTTGATATCTTCCTGCTCCGCAAGATACACGTCATTAGATTATTTGTTGAAAATGCCGCAGTCAGCTGAATATCCCACTCTAATCGATAGTCAGGTCATTCCTAATTTAAGGTACCATGAAAAATGTAAATCATTTAAATGATATCTTGAAGACTCAAAGCGAGAAAATTATCCATAAACTCCTTATTCAACGTAAATCTAGTGATAAGAACTGTAAAAACAGGGTTGAAATTGGAAATGTATGCATGAGTAATTTGGATCGGACTCAAGGAGACAACGGGTGAGATGACCCTCAGGGGATGGAGCCTGGAAAAATTCCACGGGTACATTCAAACATAACAGACAAAAATTGTACTTACTCATACAAAGGGGAAATGATGTAGTCCAGGAATGATATTTGCAAACTGGGCACACAGGCCCGTTCACGATCCATACTATCCGCCGGATTGTGCCCGAGGGCCTTCTCCAAATCCCCTTGTCGAAAAAATTCCTCATAGATAAGCTTGGCCACCTGCACTGTGTTGCTCCAATTTTTCGTCTGATCGCTCAGATCCGCGGCAGTCATGAGGAGACAGAGAAGCAGATTGTGGTGCTTTGGACTTTCTCGATTGTAGCCAATGTCTGCCATTTCTCTCAAGTTGGATAGAATATTCAGGTGGTGAGCCAAGTCCGTGGCAAGAATGATGTCGCGGATACGATCCAATACTTGACTGTATTGCTTGAGGAAGAAACAAACAAAGCCGGTTCAAGCAACATTCTCTTGTTCGTCAAAAGTTTAAAAAAGATCATTTGTTACTTTTGTCCTTTCGATCATTTCATTTATAATGTGCCATTGTAATTAACTTATTTTACCACAGATATTTAGTAAATCATTTAAGGTTGTCCTAGTATAACTTTTACCACTGAATCTCGACAAACGGGAACCATAAATAACACCATTCATAATGTGGCCAGTTCTTAGATCGATTTTGGGGAAAGGACGAACAGACAGGCGCTAAAGTCCTTCTGGAGCACTTGGGTGTGTGAATTCCAGGTACACGACGTGTGAGAAAAATGATTAACGCAAACATGTGCAAACAACGGACTGTTTGTGGTAATTCGATTAGTTACTTTTTACCGGACATGTAGCTGACGTTAAGTTAACTGCTCTATCGTTCAATCAACCTGTTCAGAGTGAATTTATTACGAAGTCCGTGAGCTAATGTTTGAGGTACAGAATTCTCAAATAGCCAGTATAACTTATGCTTCATTATTTATCGTAAATTTTCACCTGTGTGGTCAATAAGTACTTATATACTATACTATACTATGTATTATGCTATACTGTGCACCATACTACATTCGAGCTATATGCAAATCTCTGGTAAGTGTATACCACAAGGTGCTGAATTCCTCCCTTTGCACAAATAAATAACATATTATGTCAGAATTAATTTCAGCACTCCTCACACCTCTATTTTGCCTGTTCACGCAGCTTGGCGATTTGTTTGTAAACGTTCCATCACCAGCCCAGGTGACATCATCAATGCTTGTGAAGTGGCAGTCTTCTGCTTGCGTCCGTTCGTTTACATATGTGTTCATCTCCACCGACCATTTTAGTTCCTTGTTCGCATTATAGTCGACTCAGTTCGCTGTTAAACTGCTGAGTGCGTGTGAGGTTGGTAGGGGAGGTGGTTGTCCCTCTGTCCTTATTGGGGTTTCGGTCCGTTCTCAGGTCACGGCGTGAACTTCTTTTGTCGCGTCATTCGATCCTTGAGTTGCATTAGCATGTACACGTGATCCAATTCGGTGTGCCTGTTTATCGAGTTGATTGAGGAATGCCAAGCTTCGAGAAATTCTCTGGCGTGTGTTGACCGGGTTTGGTCGATAATTTTCACTGGATCGAAGTCAAACTGATGTCCTTCTTGATCTTCGTGGAGGGCAATCCAAGATAGTGGGTTATGTCTCCTGGCTGCCGCTTGGTGTTCATGAACCCCTATTGACAGTTTTCTCCCAGTTTGTCCGATGTAGGGTTTTGCGCAGTTCTTGTAGTTTATTTGGTAGATAACACTACTCTTGTCCTTCTCCATTGTTTTCGTTGGTTTCGATAGAAGTCACAATTACGTCATTCGTTTGGACGAAACATTGGCACACCGTTTTTCGAGGACCTCTCCCCCTATAATTTATATTTTGTAAAAATGGGTAAAAAGGAAGCTATCCATATCCGTAACGCATCTGCGAATTCCCTTTCTTTTATCATGCGGTTCTGCTAAGTTTAATTAGCCAATAAGCATTCGGGTAACCGCTCAAATCCTGTGTCATACACGTTGCTAATGCAAACAAACGCACAACCTGATGGACGCATCCGAGGTAGATTGCATTCCAACGGATGGATCCGATTATAACACATCAAGTCAGATGATTAAGAGAGGAAACTATGTTCCATTGAGTAACACCTGTTTTCAAAAGTGCTGTGAAATTCCATTTTGCTTTGGTTCTGATACTTTAAACTAGGTGAAAATACTTGAATATTTTATCACGAAGAGGTTAGATACAAATGAATAAAATATTCGTATCGAGAGAGAGACACCGGTTGCGGGATGCTAACATTTAGATTAATCTCCCCAGTTGCTGACGTGAATCTTAGGGAATTTGCATTTTTACTAGCCCTCATCTACACAATCGTTTACTGGTCTTTACCAACCCAATGTGCTATATACATGGTTGTTTTTATACGTGACCGAGAAAAATAATCGAAACGGTAACACCTCGCGACCGGTGTCTTGTTTCGGTCTTGATTAAAGGGGATCGATGGTTTCGAATGACAAAATACTGTGAAAAAAATACCCCAAAGGAACTGAAATGTTTGTCAGTCTGAGCAACATGATCCCATGGATTAGTTCCATCGAACATTCAATTACGCCGGTCAGCTATGATTGCGCTACATCCCCCTTCAAAAAAAGTAGCAGCCCACATCAAGTCCTGTTAGTCCACCGTATTGGTTTTTCACGTGATGTTTGTTCTACAGTGTTTGGAAATGACCTCATCTGTTCCATCTGTCATGATGATATTTCACACGACAGTTGGTCTAAGAAACCAGGCTTAGGTTTTCAGGTCACTGCACTTTTGAACGATGAACGTCAACATGAATTTTCTACAATAGACCAATACTGGTAAATTATTTACACCTAAAGTTTGATGAGAGAGAGGGACTGATTTCTAAAAGCTGTTTTGAAAAGGGAATTATTTTTCATTATCTATCATAGAATTCATTTAGAGACCAACGCCACTGTGTGTGTGGAGTTTGACCGCAAAAAATGTTCACAAATCTCCGCAACATCATGAATAAATAGACTAGGGTCCATTTTATGTGATAAATATCAACCGGTAGTTCACTCCTACAACAATTGTGAGCGCAGTATGCATTGGACTCGCTTGTCTGCAATGACAGATGTAGACTGTTCACGGAGCCTCAGGACGAACCTTGTTCGGACAGCTCTTTTTCGGTTCACTTGAAGGGCGCGCAAACTAATTTCTTGCCGCCGTCGAGCGGATGCATTTGCATATATGGGTCATTTAGGGGATATTCAACCGTCTAAGCTGGTTTTGGACAGTTGGATTTGCAATGTAATGTTAAAGTTTACAACAGACACGAGGGACATAACTAATGGATAAGAAGACGAGGTGTAAAATATGCATGTCAGGGTCCAATCGGAAGTGAACAAAATAGGTGCAAGAGTGTCCCCGAAAACGTAGGTGATTGACAGATAGAGGAACGGTGCGTTCAGTTTTGAGAGGTATTTCTTATTAGTCCCCAAATCTAAACTTCTGATTGCAGATATCTAAGCGGAATATGCGCGAGAATCTTTTTAGTTATGCCAGCGCATATTTGTATAAACCCTGCTTAAATTCAGTCTGACTGCATGGAAAAAACCGTATTTATGAATGGCCCAAGTATGATTGAAAGAATATTTAATTTACCTAGGAAAAATTAAAGGGAAGTAGCCGGTACAATTGGACCTTGAGTGCCTAAACTGAGATTTAAGAGATTCGTTCCAGTTTTTTTAAGGGAAAGGGAGAACAACAAATTTTTTAAAAGCTTCGGATCTGCATCTGAGCGTAGCTCGGGGTTCAAACCAAAAGAAATTTAGATAGCCATCCGTTCGGAAGTCGACACAAGCCTGAACCCGAGCTGGTCTCTATGAGCGGCTTTATTTAACTTTGCTGTATTATCGAAATCCAACTGACCCCATGTTACTAAAACGCTAAAACACAGAGGCCCAGTAGTGGAGCAGATGTAGTATAGAATGTAATTATTTGATGGGTCCGAGAAGTAAATTACAAAATTTTATAGAAGTCTTTACTCTCCACTTTTGATAATACGAGTGAGATTGATGTTTAGTTCGTGAATTAATGATGCTTTGTGACTTATCTTGGATTGAGATAACAACTAACTTATGCATACCTCTTGCATGCCCTGAATTCATGCAAACCAGCATCATCATTTTGACATTACATCATTCACGTTTTTTCTGCCGTGTCAGCACGGAAGCGAATCAGGTAGATAACCGTTGATTGTGCCCCATAGAGTGTCGTTTCAGTCTGATCTTAACCCCCCTTACAAACACAACGAAGGACTTGGCAGGTTGCAATAGGTAGCGTTCATCGCACACACACACATACGCACTCAATGCAGCATTGCCCGAGAGTTTCATTTGCTCATGTACGTGCTTATGTGTGATTTACTATTCACAGTTTTTCATTAACCGTCGAATCTTCATTCATTTGGTACTCGTGTCAAAGTAAAATGTTCAACTTTAATCGAAAAGATTCGAAGAAAATCATTTACAAAGCAGTTTTACGAAGGACATTATGAATATAGCACAGTGAACATAGTGGCGAACAAGCTCGTTTTCATTGATTCGTAATCATTTCAACACATACAAAAATGGTTCTGCTATCCAATTGGATATCTACTCGCTTACACGAGGGTGATGGCGGATTTTACTCGGTTACACGGTGAAGTTTGTCGTGTAGAGAAATTTTTCTTATAGCATGTTTCCGACCGAGTCATAACCCGTCCTCTTACCGAGATTGGTGTTTTGATGATCGAAGAGGTATACTCGCGTTAGGTTAGCTAAAGTCGGTTTTGATATGTCATTTGGTCTGAATAACAGCTTCCCGGTGGTAAACTGGACAGCATACTTGCATTCGACTTGCGGAGGTGCCCCGCTGGATCTCTAGTCGGTTCGATGGATTAGCTCACTGCTGATGAGACGCAAGGAGGTCGAAATAGATGTCCGGTGCTTCCAAACTTTTCACTTCCGGCTTCGATTGCTCTGAACGCGACAACATTTGTCATATATTCTACGTATGTAAACGCTTTTGAGAAAGAGTGTGCCTGCACCGCCCTGCCCGACACTAGACCAAAAAAAGTATCCGTAAGATGCATCCCGCATGGTTGAACACAGGAACGCCAAAGTCACTAGTTCAATTATATTAAATCTAACTGAAGTAAATCACATTGGGAACGCAACCGAGACCTTCCGTTTCGACCGTTCAGGATAAACCATCATTGCAATTTCACTATTGTATGCCTGGCACTGTCAAAGCGGTGAGAATTCGTCTGCTGATATCCCACTAAGCGCTTCAAAACAATGTGCGCATGCGCTCAAGCACTCGTGACACAATCGCCACCATATGGCCTGACTAGTCAGGATAACTGGGTGAAGGTACAAACAATTACATACGTGATCAATTGATATTGCTGGACAGATTAGCAAAGACAATCGTCTTATAGAGTATCAAGCTTGGATTAGCCCATTCGATTGTTCAGAGGCACCAGGTGTTAGGACGGAGCTTATGCAACCTGTACGATCGCGCACGCTCCCGAGTCAGACCACACGCACGCTCGCAACGCTCCAGACAGGCTGAACCTGATTGGATGATCACAGAACGTATCAGCCAGTTTGTCCAATCGATCAATCGATATGTCAAGGACACAATCTGATTGATGCGTCACTGCGCCGTTCCCGTATGCACGATTAGCTCTATATGTTTTGCGTATCCGAATCAAGGAATACACGCTGACGGTGGTCTCAACCTGTGTTCTCTCTCCGCGTTGTCGTGGGGGTTTAAGCAAGAGTCCCTCGTGTCATTTGTACGCCTAGACCAAACACAACACCAGGCACTCTGGTCTTGGGTGTGGGTTTCACTCTTTGGAAGATTATTAATTCCCTACTAGTTGAATGCATTTAAACGCGACGATTCGAGTCCTGACAGGGGTACAGAAAGTACGCACTGCTGACGATTCCCAAACAGGATGAAACAGCTATCCAGTGCTCTTTGACGGTCATCACAAACAATTGTCTTACGCTTGAATTGTGGCTTCCTGAGTCACCTGGTAGAGCGTGAGCTTTGTAAACCATGAGCAGCTCATTTAAATGAATCAAAGTTCATCGGGACTATCGATCTTTCTGCAATAATATGATCAATAAATCCCCGGAGGTTTTTAATAGCTTTCGATGGATTGTTATTGCATTTAAATCCGCAGAGACAATGCCCAGTAAAATGCTTGAACTTTAAACAAAACGGGTGAGCAAACATGAACTTTGAACTGAAAGTCACAAGTAGAACACCAAATGGATGACAAATCCCAGAAGAGGTGGAACTGATATGTATACAGATCAGACAAACGCGGATCAACCAAGTTTCCCCTTCACATACCTTTTCCGTTAAAGATTCAAACACGTTACAATCCTTAGTGTTCAGAATGCAGATAGTTTGAGAGAAGTGATGCCTTTCCAGAACAGATCCCTCGGAGCTGTACAAAGCGGCCAGTGTGGACTTGGATTGCAACTGGAACGAAGGAAAAACCAATGAATTTGAAAGTTATAACACTGGCTTTATCAAACAACTCGGTTAGTGCTGCGATGGAAACTCTTAACTGCAACAAAACAGTACAAGCCATGCGTCTCTAAAAAGATGTTCAAAAACAGTTCAATACAAATGATTCCGGCGAAACTGAATTATTTGTGGATTTCAACTAATTTCCCTCTTGATTTATTCAAACCAGATGCTTGGCAAACTGTTTCCTATATTGAATGTTTCAGTCTCTTGAACCGGGAGACATTCATTCAAAACTATAAGCGACTATGTACAAACAAGCGTATGGTAAATCACTAATTCATTCGGGCCTAATTCCGGGATACTTGTTCCATGTGGTTGTGTTCGATGCACACACCACGTCACAGTGTGCTCGTTCGATGGAGCCGCTAACTCATCAGTATTCAAAATACCGCGTCGGAAAGTGTCCCATCGAGTAACAGTATCCCTCAAATTCAGGTCAAATAGTCGAGGTGGGTGGTAAGTCGTCAGGTAGCGATAGTCTGTTGCATTATTTACTGCTGTGTGTGTGCTTGTGCGTGGTTTGAAACGGCAAGCACGTCAAAAACGAATAATAATTGAATCGGGCGACAGGTTCGTTGCACAGAGTGAAATTAGGCATGTCTATACGAATGATACATGGATGCAATTAATCAAACTCTGTTCAATTATTTACAATTATTCAGATGTCAGTTATTTGTGAATAAATAATTTCAACCGTACAATGTAAACCTGGAGAAGGAGAATGAGGATAGCATTAGGTTATTTTTCAACTTCAGCAGTTATCATTATATACTGATGGAAGAATTTTACACAGTGTCCTATAAAATGCAACGTAGTAGAACAAGCGCAGTGTCCACAGAAGCTCATGTTTTTCCCCTACCTGGAAACTGTTATTCGTACCCCGATGGTCAATATCATGACACAGGGATGCGACAAAAAGGGCGAAAAATTCCATATCCGTCAAATAGTCTCCGGCCAGTGGCAAATTCATGCCACACACGTAGATAAAGTGGCAGACGGAGAACGCGTGCATCCAGTTGTGATAGGCCGGATCTCGATAACCGCGTCGAACCATCAGTATGAACCGGGATAGAGTTTTGCGTGATATGCGCCAGTGATTGATCAGATTGAGGTCTTCGAACATGCTCAAGCAAGTCTGTGTTTGGAGCAGATGAGATCGGAAAAGGCGAGAGAATGACTCGTCGCGAGCCGCACTTGGTCACACATTGCCAGACAGCGTTAGATAGTTGAGTGATTTATTAACCGGTTAATTGAACGTCAGCAAAATGGTAAACAAACAGAACAATCAAAATGGAGATTATGTGAAGCCATTCATTACTATATACCGGTTTATTCACTCTTGCTGTCACTGTGTTCATGGCCTAAATAAAAGTCACTTGAAATGGGTAAATTTGTTGAACAGCCTTTCTGAAAACTATGACATGTGTCCTGAAGCGTCTCTAAATTTGCTCCGATTAATTTGCTAGGACAAAATAAGTTCGTAATAAGTTGATAAATGTATTAAAAATGATCCATGAATACAAATGAACTAATTAGACGCAAATCAATGGTGACAGTAAATTACTGCATAGAAAAATAATTCACTTGCTTGTTTTTCGTGGCACATGAATTTGTTTTTCAACGATGTCAACAATACATGAAAAAGTTAACCATAGATCACCTAGAACACTGATGCAAATTGAATCGTATGGTAACTATTAGTTTACGTATAAAAATCATAAATACGAATAATGCTTTAAATACATGTTCATTACACTATCCATCCGGGAGGGGGGTAAAACATAGTTCACATCAATCTAGACATTAATCTAGTCTCATGATCCACCGCAATCGCTGTGAAGTTTGTAGCAGTCGGAAGCATGTATGTCAGTATGCCAGGGTGTGAGTATGTGGTTTTCCTTGAGCGAATATCAGTCAAGTCGTAGTTGATATCGTGCATCTTTTATTGTTTTAAAGAATTCGATCGAGGTGGAACATAAATAGTCACAGAGACGTATGTTTGCCTGTGAAGAATGCTGTGAATGTGATAGAAAGTTATCGTTTACATCTCTGAACAATTACGGTGACGGAAAGCAACATAACAAAGCTCTGTGAAATGTATCTCTGGTTCACTTTCCGAATACACTTGTTTCAGACTGCGAGCGGTATCGAGGTATGTATAACTTACCAAAAATGTGGTATCCTCGACAACAATATTTCGTGGAACTGAAGCAAATGCTGATGGCGGATCCAGCAGTGTTTTCATTGGCGGGATAGGACAAGTGGACAACCAAAGGACCTTGTCTTCTGAGACCTAATGCAAGCCATCAAAATGAATAAGTCGAGGGTGTCAAAACGCTAAAACCAAGTCTAGCTTCGTAAAATATTTCTAAGACTATATTTATTAAAAGAAATTGATTACTAAATTTCAATTTGCCGAATTTCTTCTGGGAATCCTCAAATAATCAGTCACTTTGAAACACCTTAGACTAGTTTGCATGAAGATTCAGGAAATGTTTGGAAAGCTGTGAACTTGAATGACGACCATAGGCTGTTCAACATCAGGCAACAGACAGGAAATTGAGTGAAGCATTTTTTACTCCTAATCATGCCCATACCACTTCCTCACAAAAATGTATCTTGTATCTCCTATTCAAACAATTAAGCCTAGATCAATCATAAGATGTACCATTACGGGAAAGAAACATCAACGAAGGGTTATTTCAATTTCCTTTGTTTTGCATATTTTTATATACATACACATATATGTATATTGCACACGTTTCCGTGTCCTCAATTGGTGTCAAATAAATGAAGATCTAACAAACGTCATCACAAGGAAGACAATCTATGAGTTGATATGGAGTTGATAAATAGAACCGGAAACCGTAAGATGGTGCAAGCTGTTTTTGAAACGAAAAAACAAAAAGACGACGACCCCTATTAATACACCACTGATTTTGTGACCGTGATGAAGTTTCGTATTGAATTTTTCCTTAAACGAAATGTATGACCTAATATTATGGAAGGAACTGTTGAAGTTCAAAGGCATTTTGTACTTTTAAACGATTCGATACAGCAGAATAAACTGGAACATATCTGATCAAATACTAGAAAAACGTTTTCACAATATAATATCATAATGCATACCTTAATATTTACTATATTTACATATTTCTCATTTAAGGGTTTACTTTTAATATAATCTATACCAGTCCTCTAAGTGTATGACGATAATTCATTCTCTTACCGCTGCATAATTTGTTGGAACCCATAACATCATTGAATAAGATAATAATAATGCACCTTTAAAGTTTTAAACGAATGCTGGTAACTTGATGCTAATACTCAGTTCTCAGATTGAGTTTTCACTAATTGCCCTTCAAACAATTTGACTTAGTGAAACGAAATTGAAAACTTTGCCATCGGTTACCATGGTAACAAGAGGGGTAGTGCCAAACAAATTCATTTTCAGCTCAATCGCAGAAATACTGTGAGAGAAAGCACGGAATAAATTTGCAACAATAAATATTTGTGTAAAACTATTGCAATTAGGCACAAAATTCAACAAATTTTAGGATATGATACCCTACTATGCCCTGAAACATGAAATCTCACCTGCATATGATACATCATCAGCTCATTGGCCAATCGAGTTCGATGCTGGGCGTCTTGAACCTTTTTGTACATCAGGGACTGTAACAGAACACGGTAAATGAGAGCGGAAGAGTGAACGTGTATTCCGGATGAGGTGCTCACACAGGAATCGGTATTGATTGATGAATTGATTTATTACGATACCCCAAATGTGATCGTGGCATGTGGCAAATGTGTTCATAGTCACCGTGATATACAAAAGTACATCGTCGCACGTAAGAACGGATACTGGTAAGTCTTGTCGGATATGATTGATACAGAGTGCATTCGTTCCTTTTAGCCAAAAGCCCTTTCATCATCTCGGTCTGCGGGAAGGGGTGTAGTCACTTTTTACCTGGAATACATCACGTCTCATTCACTTCCTCTAGTGTTGTTGAGGGAAATTTTTTAGTGAAATCTGCTTGTAAACTTATAATTCAAAAAGTCATCTTTTATCTAAATGCTACCTCCTGAGCAGTTTACAAAGGTATCATGTATGGTTGAGAAAAACCGTAATCAACTTTATGGTATGATCAGTGTTTATAGTGCGTTCGAATACATCAGGGAAAGTTGCATTTGCGCACTAGTTGAGGATATATGTGCTCAGGAATAACTGGGTTAAGATTTTGTATGGTGATTGTGAAAATTTCAGTAGTCTGAGCGGGATTCGAACCCACGCATGTACACCGCCTACGCTTTGTAGCGCACGCTCTATCACTTGAGCTACGAGATTTGTGAAAATTTGTGTTGTATTTGGAAAGTGCAATTACCCGTAACATATAAGTAACCACCTTCTGGGTTCGGGGGTCATTTCCTTTTAAATTATTTGACAGTGGCGCTACAACGATTTGTTGATAAGCCGTAGATGGAAACTGCGTTGTCGCAATACATATCATGCGGAATGACTTCAACATTTTTCAGATATTTTAAACAATTCATGACATGACTAAATATTGCTATGCAGCGACGACTTATCTCAGCAGTCATCAGGGGCAAAATGCAGATAGAACGGTAGCAAAAGATCGTTTTACTAGTGATTTCTACTCATTTCACATCGTTCCTGTGTGTGTTGTGCCGATGGATCAGTATCTCTGGGGTCCCTGAATGGCCGCTTTCTGGAGAAACCAAGTTGAACTATATGTTTTCCTCACTACTAGTTTCTAGTTAACAGTTAATCCGTGATGAAGATCTGTAAGTTCTAGTTACTTGCCGTAATTCCAGTAGTGAAAACCGGGCATATCGATTAGGGGCGTTGTCAAATGTGACTATTTTATGGTCTCGGGGATCTAGATGTATGCGGTGTGTATGTGCTTCACTCACATGAACAATGCTAATACAACAGTAGACGGAAAATGCTCTGGCCACGTCCTCGTCGGCATGCGTGAAATAGGGGAAGTCAATTTTATTGCATAATTGAGCGACACCGACAATTCCGTCCTTTTCATTTTTGATTGGGAAACACAAAATGTTCCTGTGGGATTAGAGAGAGAAAAAAGACTGTTTCTAAGGGAACATGGCAATACGTAGTGGCAAATACGTAAACTGTCGCATCCAGTAGCACATAGAACGAAAATCAGACATGTTGAGTTAGGCAAAACGTTGTTGAGCACCATACCTCGTATGAAATCCGGTTTCCTCATCCACTCCGCGATAGAAAAGAGGATGTGTATATGCATCTTTGATGTTCAGAATTTCTCCTATGAAGAAAAGACGTTATGATGCATTAAGCACATATATCAAAACAAGGGGAAAGATATGTATGATATTGCTTCATCTGCTTTCTCAACGGTCAAAAATTAACATGCACAATCGCCAAACTGAAGTACAGTGAGATTGCTCCATCGTTTACTATCATCTCGTTCCTCACAACCATGACCACAAACAAGTTAATTCCCCCTGACCCTTTCTGTGATCTGATTGGTTCACATTCCGCGATCTGCGANTGATTATCGGCTTGTACGTTTAGTAATGCTCTTGTTGGTAAGTCCAGTCCATCTGTGTGCTGATGGAACTCCTACTGCACAGTCGAAGTTCACTGGGCCTGCCTGAGACTCAGCTGTAAAAAAGGTGTGGTTTCTCACTCAGGTACCTTGTT